GATGAAATACATATCTATTAAAACAAAAAAATATGTTCTCACTGTTGCATCTGCCTACTTCCCACCCAGGAATAATCTCAAAAGAGAAGACTACAACAACTTCAACAACGTCAAGTCTTGGTGAAAAATTTATATTAGATGATAATTTTAATGCAAAAAAAAAGATATGCTGGGGCTCAAGACTTACTACAACTTAAGGAAAAGAACTAAACGAGGCTATCAAAGATCAGAAATGTAAGTGGCACTCCACGGGAAAACCTACATATTGGCCAAACAAACTACTAGACCTTCTGGACTTTTGTATTTCCAGAAATATTGTAGCAAATTTTATAAAGAGAAGATGTCGAGGAATTAATATCTGATGACTCCTAAATACTCCTAACAATAAGTGAAAATATTATCACTAGATAACTCAATCCCACACTGACGAAAAAACATACAGACTGGGTAAGATTTCAACTTGAACTTGGTGAAAAAATTGAATGAAATGTCCCAATTAGGACAGTGAAAGATTTGGAGACAGAAACGGAATTATTTATGGTCAATATCGAACAAGCTGCATGGAATAATGAACCATTAATATAAAGGAAAACTATAGGTATTAATTATCCCAAAGAAATAAGGGATTTAATACAAAACAAAAGCAAGGCTCGAAGGAAGTGGCAAAAAATGAGAACCGAAAAGAACAAAAACAAACACTAATAATCCTAAGAGATTTACTAAGATTTTGTGTATAAGATTTATAATGATTTTGTCAATCTTTTTAATACAAACAAGTATATTTAGTAATTTTATTTTTATCACTTAACTTTTCATCCAGCAAACACAAATGCATAAATACAATGAACGCCTAATTATATATAAAACTGTGTTTGGTACTTTAATTTTTTGTACTTTCAAATAAAGATTTTTAGAAAATATTTATAGGGGATAATTACACATGGAAGCTTTCTGTATCGGATGAATCTTAGTTTTAAACGAGCCATTTTTGCCTAGCAATTTAACGAGAAGAGGTGGCACGATTTTGGGACTACAGTTCTTCGAGTCAAAAACTGAAATTTGTTCAGACATAAAAAAAAACTTTGTAATTTAGGAAGATAATATTGTAACTGATTCAAAACGTATAAAATAACATTATTTAACAAATGTTTTTAATATAAAAGAACCGGGGGACCTAGCGTCTTTAACGCTTCAAATTTTGAGAAGATTTCAAAAGTTACACAAGCCGCGCAGCGCCGCGTGTACCATTTGAATAGTAAATTTTTGCAAATTCAAAGTTTAAGAAGTTTGAAAAAATGTATATAATTATATAATATATAATGTATAGGTACCATGATTTTGGTGTCATTTTGCTTCTCTAAGTGCGATTTCGTTCATTTAAATGTTTGACCGAATTCTATATCTCGGGAACCACAAAAGTAGGTACCATGATTTTAGGGTCATTTTGCTTCTCTAAGTGTCCCCAACTTATATCTGAGTCCGATAAGGTTTTGGCTTTCTCTATCCGGAGATCGCGGCACGGACAGAAAGACATTGGCACTTTAATATAGTAGGATATTTATTGTACAACAAAATAAATGTATTATTCTATACTGATTAAATTTTCGACGTTGACTGGACTATCAGTCCCTAAACGGGTCCGGAACTCGAACTGAAAAAGAACGACTAGGGATAATTTGATAAATTATTTATGGGAGGTTTTGGACTTCCACTGATCTGCGGAATTGCATGGATAATGCCTTGAATGACTTTGAAAAGAGGGTTAGACACTTGTGACGGCTTGTTTTTTTTATAGAAAGATTTATACACCTTTTAGGATATACATACTATGAAGAGGATGAAAGATTAGAATAAATCAATATTTAAGCAATGTCCCTTCGATTAGCTAAAAAATGGATACAATATTATAAAGATAATGGAATAATAATTTCATAAATAGAAAGGACGATAATGTCTATTGAACAACCAGTGTTTATATCCCCATAAAATTATCAGAAATACCATTAACCGTAATTGCTGTCAGGAATTTCATTTATTATTATGGAAGTAGTATTTTAACACATCGTTGATAAATTGCGACTGTTTAAATTAAACGATTTGTTTCGTAAATTAACATTGAAAATAGCTAATTAATTAGTGTTATTAAGATTCACTTTGATTTGAGCCTCAGCTATGTAATATGCAAAACAGAGCTAATAGGAGATAGCTTTCATTGATAAAATATAATATTCATGACTCCGACAACGATGCCACAGTCGATACGGCCCAGCTGTAGATCAGAAGTGAGGAGACATGTGGTGTGAGGTACGAGAAGGGACAAACTGAAAGATTTGACGGTCGTACAAAACAATTTTATCAATGAATATATGTGTAAGCCGTTGCACACCCATAATAACGTACAAAATGCAAGCCCTGTTGCCACAGCTAGTACAAAATACTTGATATTCAACTTAACATTAATTAGGTTTTGGAACTTATTGAAAATTATTACATATAATTTAGTAATATTACATCTAATTTAGTTAAATTTGATATAACTAATGATTCAAAGTTTTTTGGGTTCAGTTGCAATAAAATAGGTTGAAATAGTTTAGCTTTTTAAGATATGTAAATAATTTTGTAAATAAAATGAGAATTATAAAATAGGGATGACAACAGCGAATAGTATACCCATCTCTGTCCCTTAGAATTATATCTTATTCAAGACAACAGTTACATCTCCTGTTTTTTCTGATGTAACGTAACTTAGACAGGGGTTTAATTAATTTTATAAGAACAAATAGAAGTAGCAGAGGTACCGAAATTAGCAGATCCACATAATGTTTGGCTATCGAGGATTTTTTTTATGGTTTATTTTTATTTTACTAGCTAATTGTGTACCGACATTTGAAAACTAGTTGTTATTTTATTGACTGCTTTATAAGATATTTTTGATTTTGATTATTAAGATTTTTAAAATAATTTGTTTTTGGTTTATTTATTAGTTTGCTTAGAGTTTGTTTATATTTATTGCATTCAATTTTTAAGTTCTGATAAGTTGGATAATTTTTAGTTTTTTTTGTATAGTTTATTTTTTGTTTACCGACAACTAGAGTCCAAGAAATGAGGCGACGAATTCTTTTAAAAATATCAATATATAACATGGAAATAATGTAATTTAATTTCAACTGCATTCCATGAAACCAATAAGATGTCAATTACAACTTTGCCCAAAGAAATTCCGGAGACTCTTAACAAAACAACATTCAATTACGATTTTCCACGTTAAAAAACAAACGTTGGAAATAAAAACGTTAATTGAAACATTTTTAAAAATTCTCACGGGCTTTAATTAATCAAAAGAAACTGATACCGATACCCAAATTAAAAAATAACAATGTGTAAATTGGTCGACAGGATCGAACTCAACATTGTAGACATTTTTTTCTAAAAAAAATTAAAAAAATTTAAATTCGATTTTTCAGAATTTACTTCGAATTTTTAGAAAAGTAATTCACCTTTTTATTATAAATTGAAATTTTTTTAACTCTTTGTGGAAGTCATTAAAATAAACAACTTTCTCAAATAAATTATTCCAAAAAATATACTCATAAATAAGAAACACAATTTATTCCAAAATGTATCCAATACGGACCTGTATAACTGTATAACTTTCGTCGAAAAATGTTGATTACAATCATATTGTAAGAATGATTCACAAAAATTAATTCTGTGCATAGAGTCTACTTATAATTCTTTGGTAAAATTTTCCTATCGATTACCCCACATTGATAAGTAATCTGTATGGTAGAATCCTCATTTTGAGTGCATCATTTGTGTTCTAAATCTGAAATAGTTTGTCGACTACGCTCTATTGCACTTAGGCCTCGGTAGACTCTTTGTGCATCCCGCTGGAGCAAAATGACTTTCTCTTAGCTAGTCACAGTGCCTAATATTACAAAGTAATTAATTTTAGATGCCTCTCGCTAACTGTGAAATAATGAATTAAATCAATTAGAATTGTACCGTGTAAATTGGGTATCGAGTCCGACCCTGACACCGTCCCGCCTCGAGCGTAAAATAAATTGATTAAAAGGGACAATTATATCTTGTTCAATGCGTGTGAAATATTTAGCGAACTCGTGTAGTCATGCACCATTCTTTTTTCTTTTTAGCAATTAAATTTTGCATTTAGCGTCTAGAGAGCTTTTTAAAATCGTGTCAGTTTTGCGTTACAATGATTCTGATTTTGACAAATACGAGTTGTTTTATTATTAAAAAAAAAAGAGTAAAAAAGTGTAAAGTGTGAAGGGTTTATAGTATATTACATTACTAGTGCAGAAAGTGATAGTCCTTACATACTAGTGGAAAATACTAATAAATAATCAAACGAGTGTAAAAAATTACTATGGAGTAAGTGATGTACTTATTTTATCTACGACCGCAAAACAATTTGTTATGTCTTTTCCCTCAATGGAACAATAGAGAGCCTTTTCAAAGCCAGAAAGGGGCATCTCAGAAACGCTTCAAAGATTTTCAAATAAAAGTAATGAGTTCTTTTCTTTCATTCACAAAGAATGTTTATTCTTAAAATTATCTGATAAAAATGAACATCAAAGAGTAAATAAGGTTCATATAAATATTTATATTTTCAATATAAAAGGTAGGTACCAGATCCAAGATTTATGACTAATTAATGAATATAATTGGTTATTTGATTGTTTCTAATATGGACTGTTTTGTTTCAAATCACTATTGTATCCGCTATTACAGTTTTACCTTTTAAGAAGGTATAAATGTTAATTTCCTAGTCAAATAGCATATTAAAAAGTAAGTCACCAACTCAATTAAATAATTTTTTTAAATGTGTTAATCAAGTTTTATGTTTTGCAGGAGTGCGGCTTCAATCTGGAATACTGGTACCCCAGTGGATGTGTTTTTTACAGGTAGTGGAATATGTTCCAAGAATTTTGATACAGAAGGTAGGAGTAGTATAATATTCCCAATTACGGAAGAAATAAATGGAAACTATCAAATTAAGAAGTCCCATCAAAGTTGAATGTGTATCAACTTTCACAAAAATAGACGTATTAAAAAATACCAAGAAGCTAAAGGGGACCAATATTACTATTTCTCCAGATCTTACAAAAACTCAACAGGAAAGAAATAAAATTTTTAGAAACCACCTACGAGGAATAAGACAGACAACACAGGATCATTGCTACATGAAAGGAGAAAAACTTTACAGAAATAGTACAGCTTATAGTGTAGAAGATATTATACAAATCGAAGAAAGCTACAATTCAATCGTAATACAACAATCAAATAGCGCACCACAAACACCAACAAGAGAAAATAATTTATCTACATTCAATCAAGATAATAATAAAGAAATAAAAGAATTGAACGATATTGAGGACAAAGGAGCAAAAACAGAGAAAAAAGAAGAAAAAGTAGCGGAACATAAGGAAGAAAGAAAGAGGATAAACAGAAAAGTCAACAAATACAGCAAAAAAATAAAGAAAAAGAAAAGGAAAGAAGAAAGTCTGTTACTACTAGAAGTCTACCAGTCAGAAAACTGGTAATTAAAATTTGTTTCTAAATTCTGTTTTTGAAGATTTTCACTAGTAATACCACTAGAGGTCAAATTATTTCCTGATATTAATTTGGCCTCGCGTGGTATTCGGTAAGAAAATTCCACGCCGAATTATGGTTGAAAATTAAATATTTTTAAAATTTATTTTTCGTTTCTCAACAATGCAAATTATTTTCTCCAAGTCACCAGTGAAACATAAAAGGTGTTGTCGCCTTGATTGTTGAGTTGTCATGGTAACTAAGTGAGACCCTAACCTCGAATATAATTTCAGTTTTGAAGTTGTCAAGCGGCCCGACGTAAAAAAATGTTTCGCTGCAATTATTTAGGCCTTCAAATTGCTTATTTCTACTCATTGTAGTTGCATGGGAATACCATTTGAAAATAGAAAATAGTATATTCTTTAATTTTACGTAAGTTTTGAATAACTACAAGTGGTAGAAAATTGTTTTTCTGCGTTTTTATTAACATGCGTTATGAGCGCTTTAAAATGGTATGAAATTCATAACCAGCGTCAGCAAGCATCAATCGTAGGAGGGTGTGATCATTGTATTTTGACAGTTCAAAACATTAAATAACTCGCGTTTTGTTGCGATAAAGAATATTGCACAGCAAGTAAAACCAACAAAATTACCTATTTGTTTAAAAATGAATCGATTTGAAAATCATACGCTATGCAAAATATGCGTGAAATTGTCTGATGTAATGATCCATCATTGCACCATGACTTACTTACTCGGATTAATAGAGGATTGTGGCTCCAACTTGAAAAACGAAAATTTGTTCCGAATTGTCCACGAATATTTGCACCTAAACTACGCAAAATTCAAAGTGCTGAATGGGAAAAAGGTGAATAAATTAGTGTCTAAATATTATATATATTTTATTAGACATAGACACATAATTCAAAGCATCCAAAGTCCTGCATTTTCGCCATTAAGAAGAAAAGAAGTGGCCGAAGAATATAGAAAACACCTTAGCATTGTAACTAAAATATATCAAAACTAAACCTATTATGTGAACAAATAAAAACCAGTCTGTCAAAAATGGTCTGTTATTGTAAACGTCAAAAAATTTCCAGTATAATTAGGCATTCCAAACTGAATGGCTACCAGTGGGTTTTGACGGGTTATGATATGGCAAAATTATGGCAACCCTGTAGGCCTGGTGATTTAGCAAGGTCAATGAAATAGATAGTTACATAGATTGATTATCCATATTTTTCAAAATAAACATAAGCGTATGCCTTGAAGTAAAAATGTAAGCAATTATTTTTTTTTTAATATCTAAAGGCTAAAAATTGGTTTTAAAACACATTTTTGCTAAACCGATTCAAATTAATAAATATTTGCCAGGCAATATGGCTGCTCGCAAACGACCAGCTTTGAGCAATGTATATAACATATATGTATCATTGACCCTGTTAACGACAACATGACAACAGAGTTGCCATATCTAAACTGTCAGTACCCACTGGTAGCCATTTGGACAGGTCGTTGGAATGCCTAATTCGCTGTTGGGTACCCCACGAGAAAAAAATTTCCACTAAAATACCTCCGTTGCCATGGTGATCTGTCAAAAACACGTATTTTGATTGGTTCAAAATTACAGGTGTGGAATTTTCTAAATAATTTTCTAAATCATCCAGATAATCTTGTGGAGAAGTAGCTGGGGGTCTATAATAGGCAGTTGTGCCAATTTTATTATAACCCGTTATATAGTTTGTTAAAAAAGTTACACGTAAGAAGTTAGTTTTATTCACTGGTGTTATTTTTACCTCAGCTGATATTTTATCTCTTGTATAAACTATTACTGATAAGCGATTCATTGTCTTATACTTTATATTTGGGAATTATGAAATTACTTACCGCTTCAATATTTCTTGTTTTAGATAGTATGATAATATCTACCATATCTTCCGCGATCTGTTAATATATTAATAGTTCATCTATGTTTTTTAAGCCTCCAATATTAAAATGAATAATACCTAAACCGTCTTGCTATCATTCTTCTTTTGTTGAAAAGATTGTGGAAAATGTTCAACAACTCTGGTAACGATCGGTTCATCACCATCTACATTTACATTTAGCAAAACTAACATAGTAGGCATTTTATTTGGAAAACGGAGTAACCGTAAATAATTGAAAGTAAAATGTTTTTGATTTATAACAAACTATTATTTTTGTTCGTAAAATTGCAACATCCTTTAGCTCTAAAATTACCCCCTGGTCATAGCATTTTTCTATTTTGCAACGCTCGAATTTTAATAAAATTATCTCCACTTTATTCCGCTTTATACCTCAATTAAGTGAAAAGTTTTACATTAGGTGCAATTATCCGACTTACAAAAATAAATTAACCAAAATTTATCGCCGTTCATAATTCGAAAATTACGAGCAACGATATTTAATTCGGAATAACCATAATTTTACTCGCGTCCACAAAGAATATAAATTCTTATTATTCATTCAAATCTGTGACAAATTATGATTAATTTTCCTAGTCACAACAATGGAAATGGGTAGTTAATAGTTGTGGGGGGCATTATTCTAAATTTATAGGGCCCTACGAAACGAACACCAGGGTTTCTTTTTCTATTTTGCGAATTCGTTTTATTTAATTCCTCGATGTACACTGCAAAAAATCGCACTAAGAAAGCTTAGGTAATGGATAATTTGTGAGTGTCCCAAATTGGACCAATACCAACGTATGATTGCTTACATAATTATTATAAAAGAAATTTTTTAAACAAATCTTTAATAAACTCCAAAAATAGAGTAGTTTTTTATTTTAGTTCGGATTTGTTCGTTCAAAGATTTGTAACGTTCATTTTTAGCTGCACGAATTACTAGAGGAAAATTGTTTAAATATACGGAAAAAAGGTAAACCGTAATTTATTGTTGATAAGCTTTTAAGCCATTATTTTTGTCGTAAACTGGCTGTATATATTGTTAGCCTTTAGATATCATTATTATAATTTAATTTTCCTTCTCACTGGAAAGGGGTATCCTATTTTGTTGGGTTAGTTATAAATGACGTTAAATGTCAGTCAACGACGAGACACTATAATTGACAGAATCATGTGTTTTGAGTCGTTCTTTCTGGTATCGTTGTACGAGATGCGTTCGTTTGACTGTAGGGTTAAAAGATTTTTCGCGACCGATGTGTATATAGATATAGTTCGTAGGGTAATTTTTCGTAAATAGTCTCTTAAGATACATACTGGTAAATTATTAAAGATTAATTTCTGAGCCCACTCGTCTTGTCATTTTCCAAAGACGGGAGTAAGGACATCGTGCCATTTTTTGCTGGTGACGTGCTTCTGACAGGTGCTGTTGAGAGGGAAAGAAGACAAGAACCTCATATTTTGTCTAGGGGTAAAATCTGTATTTTATATAGCCATCGGGCTATCCTATTAAAGGGGATTCTAGATTTTACTCCAGTATTAATTGTGGAAGAACGGGTATATAATATTTTTGGGGAATTTCGTTGTTTGGATAAATTCCCATGTTTTTTAGTCCCATTCCACACCCGTTAAAGGGATTTAAAGACAAAAAATTGGAGATCCATCGGCATTTGTCTGTGTAATATTGAAGTGGATTCTTCAATAGTTGATTGCTGCGGATTGTTTCGCTTGTTTTTCACCCTTGGAAGGCTACCAGTTTAACCCTTTACGAAAAAGGGTTCTTCTTTCACCCGGAGGATTTACACTCCGGAGATCAATGGTTTTAACTAGACTCAACCGTGGGGACACAGTACATTGATTTATTTACCACCTGGCTTACTAAAAGTTAAGCACTTCTTCCAATTTGGAGAGTGTTAAATGGTTATTGGGTTTCAACATTAAACGTTGATGTTTAGATATAGATGCGGATGCACATGATTTTTTTTTGTATATATTTTTTTTTATTTCACTGCTTATGTAAAGGTAGAAATTAGGATCTCAAAATTTTTGCATACCATTTTGCGCAAGTGTTCTTCGTCTGGTACCAAGCTAACGACCGACCGTGCCACGTGTTGGTGAATTTATTTTCTTAATTCATACATATGACATACTTTATTTTAATTTCTTACCGTTTTAAACTATTCAGCTGTTTATTTGATTATGATTCATCAATAGCCATTAGGTAAATAATCTGTAATTGTAATATATTGGGTAAATTGGTAATTTTTTTTATAAAGGAACATAAGTTGAGGTTTGTCTTTTATTTCTTTCCTTATTTACTGGGTTTGTGGGGAAATAGGAACATAGTTTGGCCACTACATAGACCCAGTTGGCTCCTATCATTTGTCTACTATTTCCGGAATTTTTATAATCTATCCACCCCCTAGCTGCCGTCTGAGAGACGTCGAAGGCCCGAAGGTTGAAACCGGAACAACAGAAACTTGTGTAACCGAGTAGACAGGATTTTATCGTTAAAGTTATTTTTTTTTTATTTTTAAAGTTTAATATTAGGCAATTCCCTTCGGGAAGTTGCTTAGAACTTTTGGTAGGTTACAGATTATCTTGCTTCTCGACTTTGCAAAATAGATTATTTTTTGTCAAAAAAATTGGTCCTTCGAACCGAATTTTGAAAGTAATCAGAAAATAGACAGTCACATCAGCAGGTGGAAAGAACTGGAGCTCAAGGAAGTAGACGTGTGTACATGTTTTTATTTAGTAACGTTAAAGTTTGCAATTTATGCATTTCATTTCACGGTTTTTCGAAATTTAGCCCTATTTAACAGCTAAAGTAGTGAATTTAAACTGTTCAGTATGAACTTACGGGTTATTTGTGGGAACATGAAGTGCGTTTAAATGGTGATAACTTTGATAACTTTAAGTTAGGGAGAATCGTATTGGATATATTTTCAAATAAATAAGTTTCTTAATTTTAAGTTTTTTGAAAAAGATGTTTATTTTAACAACTTCTATACACAGTTAAAAAAATCAATATAGGATTCACTCTGT